ATAAAGTGGTTTATTCCAATTTATGTTTATTTCACATAATTTGATGAGGCTTATTCCAAAGTATATCTGCACGCATCACCATTATCATGCCAAACCAACTGATTACAATTCATGATCTCTTCAGTTGCTTTAACCTTTCCAGTTAAATACCTTTGGAACGGAGTTACATCATTTGTCCATCCATCTAATAAAAACTGACTTTAAATGGCATATAATCAGTGGATCCAGCTTTTGACCTTCCCAATTCATGATGTCAATTTTTTATTGACAAAAGATTTGGAATAATTGCTATACATGACTTGTTTCTTCTTCAAGTTCATTTTCAAGCCTGATAATTTACTGATGTTAATTCTGTTATTTGTCTTTTAAGATCATACTAAAGATGACAAAACATAGGTGGTTAAGGTTATTTATTGTTAATCCTATTTCTTTGGATCACTTCAGACAATTGACACAATTACTTCTAGACTTTGTGAGAATAGTTTCAATGAAATTGAATCACTTTGTTGATCTTTGCATATTGATGATGGTAGTTGTGCCATATCTGTATACAATATTGATACATGGTCCTTCCACACCTTGTCTCTCTAGCCTATTGCCAAGACATAAGCAAGACCTGTTGCTTTTATAAGTCTCAAATTTTGAAGTCAGATGGAATTTTGCCAACTTTGAATTTTGGAATTTCATCAGACCTTATTTCATTTCCACCCTTCTGCAAAAAGGAGGTAGCTTCTATCTGTTGCAATTTTTTTTAAAAAGCCAAATCTGAAAATCCACTAGATGGCAATAGAACACTAAAGGAAAACTTTAGGTAGTGTGGAAAAAAATATATATCAGAAAATGCCTTTGAACAGATTTGGTATCATCAAATCGTCTATGTGAGCCTGTTTTTTTTAATAAAATATAACAAATCTCATTCATATTATTTACACTTAGAATTTTTTTCAGTATACTTTCCAATATATTCAGTTTGGCTCCTATAATACCTAAATATTTTAAGCTTGATTTAGTGAACTAACTGCTATTACTGGATTCATACAATGTTCTAGTGGTCTTTATACAGAAGTTGGTCTTTTCAGAGAGGCTGAACAAATCATTATCAGAGATGTTTTAGTGCAGCAGTTCTCAAATATTTCTCAATTTTAACTTCCACTACAATAAATATAGATAGGAGAGCCCATTTAGTGTACTGGTTTTAAGGCATCAGGTTAGAAACTTGAAGAACATGAGTAGGCACTTCAAGCAGGCACTTGCAAATTGCTTTGGAAATCTTGAAATGATCTTGTCAGGAGTCAACTCTGATTCAACAGGATGGATGGACGGCTGGAGAGATCCCACATAAATTAAAGCTCTTTGGGGATTGGACAAGATGACCGCTAGAATCATTTCTAATTCTGATTCTATGAAAACTCACCTAAATCATGTTACGACTTAATAATAAACCAGAATTTAGAAAATCTAAAAAAGGGTGTTGAGGATCAAATTACACTGATAGAATGAAAATAAGACTATCAATCAGCAAGATACTGAACTAGACCTTCAGAGACTGGAGAACAGGAAAATAACTCTTATATATCCCTTAATTTAGTTAGTAGCATCTAAACACTGAACATGCCATCATTTTTGCAAAATTTCCTAATTAAAGAAACAGAAGAACTATTAAAGCATTTTTCAAGCTAGGAAGAAGCAATCCAATTATGTTACCAGAACAAAACATAGATTCTTCCCCTAGGAGATTATTCATACAGAAGAAACTGAGAGCCAAACGATTCCCATGGAAAAGCTACTGAATTCTCAGTGAAACCCCTTTGCAAGATGGAGCCATTATTTTTAATTCAGCTTTGCATGCCCTGGCTTTCTGCATCTATAATCTCCTGCCAATTAGAGGCAATAAACACTCAAAGCATTAGTAAAAGGAATGGGCTTCTGTATCCGTTCTTTGTCCAAAGGATTTAAATTACAGATCTTTGTAACATGGCTTCTATTGATTAAACTGATGCTCTCAGGGCTTTCATCACTTGTCTCTTCTTTCAGCTCATCTCCTTTTTCCTTTTGGATGGACTCTGCAGTTCCAGCAGTCACTTGAGGGGAACTCTTTCCTTGCTAAAGAGCACCTGACAGGCTCTTAGCTATAGAGATTTAAATAGACCTCTTATCACTTATTACTTATCACTGTGTATTTCTTACATGAGGTTTATTTTTATTTTCTTTCGCCAACCTCTGGAATACCTCCTTATAAAACTTATACTCCTAACTTTAGAGCAGTGGTTCTCAACCTTCCTAATGCCACGACCCTTTAATACAGTTCCTTATGTTGTGGTGACCCCCAACCATAAAATTATTCCTAAAACCATTGAAAATATGTGTTTTCTGATGGTCTTAGGAGACCCCTGTGAAAGGGTAGTTCGACCCCTAAAGGGGTCCCGACCCACAGGTTGAGAACCACTGCTTTAGAGTAACTATATGCCTTTTTTCTGTTGAGTAAATGCCTCTTCTGGAAAAAAACATGAGATATCAACTACTGAGAGATATAAAGCATAAGGTATGAGTTCTGAAGCACTATTGCTGAAAAGAAAAACCATATAAAATTGGGCTGTCTGGAAATTTACAATCCACCCAAAGTATATTCTATTTTTATTCCATGTAATTTTATTCTACTGTTCTGTAATCTTCCAACCTGTAATCCCAATGTGTGTTTCTTTTTGAGTTACCCAGATTCTCAAACTATAAACACACATAGACACATACATATGAAGCATGGCTAGCCACTGATTATTACAGCAATACCATTCCAATAATAGTTGTTACTATATATTGTGGGAGGGTGAGAAAATAAGGCTAGCAGAGTTACAGAGTTTTTAAGTGCCCCTTGAAAAACATTTCTTAAATAAACCTTTACCTAACTCACTGTTTTAGACATCTTTCTTCCAAAAACTACCGTCATGAACATATATTATGTACCACTATCAGTGACTACAACAGAGAATCTGAAAACAAAAAAATGGCAGCTACTGCAAATATTATCCTGTCTTTGCAGCCCACTCTCCCCAATGCTTGTTACTCTCCCTTTGCAACACAGCTGCAATTAACAGTGAGTTTACCTGAGAAGGTAACATGGGTTGGCTGCCTTGCTAGTTGTCACTGTGATGCTTTGGAAGAAAGTAATCAGGAGAAAAACAGCAAAGCCAGTGAGAAGCAGGCACTGGGAGTCTTTGGAAGATGGAGAACAGCAGTGGGTGGGTAGGAGAAATATAGAGACCATAGGAAAATCTTTGCCAGCACGTATTGCTATGGTAGGTGCCTTATTACCTTATTTTCCAAATTGGGCATCTTAAACTATGTTTTATATCCCACAGCCTACATGTATGCATTGCAAGGCAATATTGCAGCACTATAAGCAAAGCAGCTGTTTTTCAAACACATGATCTACTAAACTTTTAATGGAAGAGCATATCCCAACTGATCTTCCAATTTCATCCAAACCGTTAAATCTGAAAAAAAGGCTTCTGTTTTCCTACATATTTATTTTTTTATTTTTTACATCCCACCTTTATTGTCTCAAAGTTGCTTTTTCAAAAGGCAACTAGACTTTGTTTTTCCTTGAAGGTGTTTTGCTTCTTATCTAAGAAGCTTCTTCGGTTCTGACTGAGTGGTGGAGGATATCCTCCACCATTCAGTCAGAACCAAAGAAGCTTCTTCATCCCATCTTTATTATTTTTACAAATCAATACGGCAAACATATCCAGTACACTCTTCTGCTCCTATTTTCCCCACAACCACCACCCTGTGAAGTGGGTTAGGCTAAGAGAGAAAAACTGACTTAAAGTTACTCAGCTGGCTTCCATAGCTAAGGCAGAATTAGAACTCATGCTCTCCCTGTTTTTAGCCTGGTGCCTTAACCATTAGCTCTAACTGGCTCTGGAGTTTATTTCTGAATGCCTTGGGCTGTTACATTCGGCAACTTCACATACAGGCTGTTTGCACAACAGGCCATTGTTAATTTAGCCACTTCTTCAATCCCATGTCTAGATTCAAAGGGAACAGTATTTCTTAAACTAACCTTGATTCCCACAACCAACTACACTAAGATGTGAGTGGTTAATTAGTTACTCACTATATGATCCCTCCCTCCCAAGTAAGTCTGCAACTCCAGTCATACATGAGAAATTCAATGAAATGTGTGATTCTTTTGAAAGGCAGGCAGGCAATGTGTGGATGGGTATACACCTTCAATTCTGGCTTCTGGTGACTGCCTGGACAAGTCCCTGCAGCTTTCTTTGGCATATTTGAGAAGTGGCTTGCTATTTCCACCTTCCTAGGGCTAGATCAGGGGTCTGCAACCTTAAACACTCAAAGAGCCATTTGGGCCCATTTTCTACAGAAAAGAAAACATCGGGAGCCACAAAACCCTACCCGTGCCTTACTATTTCTTGAGCGGCCATAAAACTAGCATATGTAGTTGAATTAAACGTTCTTATTTTTTTCTGAAACTTTTCTTTTCTTGGATTTATCCATAGTTGGCCTACTGGGGGTTGAAAAGCTCAATAAATCATGTGGCATTGGCGGTTCTGACACATATTTTGAGTGATGGAGCCACAGCAGAGGAGCAAAAGAGCCACATGCTGCTCCAGAGCCGCAGGTTGCTGACCCCTGGGCCAGGGCTAAGAGTAAGCCCAATGTTATCCAGCTGGCTTTGTGCATAAGATTCAGGGTCTTCCAGTTTCTAACCTGCTGCTACACCAAACTGACTCTCTTCATCAAGCAGAATACAAAGATATATTTTAAAAAAATTGAACGTTATGAAATTCTCAGCACAGGGCAGCCCTAATAGGAACCCACTTTGAGATGTAGAAGCACCTCAATCTGGGTTTCTCCTGCCTGCCTTTTCCAAACTGTTCCTCTTCCTTCTTTTTTCTCTGTATGAAACGGTCCAGCAAACGGTTCTCCTCAGAACCGCTCAGAAGGGCCGAGCCATTCCGTGCCACATTATTTCAGGCGCCAGACTTCCCGTGCGGATGCTACTCTTCCTCTTCCTTAAGGGCCAAGATGCGTCCCACGCTGAAGCGCGTTTCCCACACGGCGGAGCTCTCGTTCCAGATCCGAGGGCGACAGCAATGAATGGAGGCCTCGCTGCAGCGCCGCCCCTCATCTCGGAGCGCGGCTCGCTTGGCGACACGCTCGGCCTTGCCTCGGGCGGCTCTCGCCCAGCCCCGCCAGCTCCAGTCAGCAGGAACCCGGAAGCAGGCGGTGCTGCAACCAAGCCGTTTCCTGCGCCAGAGTCGGAGACGGGGCTGAGCTGCGATCTGGTAAAGCGGAGCAGCTGCGGAGCCATGACTCACCAGACCGGCATCCACGGTAGGAAAACGGGGAGCCCTGGGAGGGGATGGGGTGGTGGTGCTGCTGCTGCCACCTTTTGTGCCGCCCCGGAGCGCTGCGCTCCGAAGCCTGTCGCCAAGCGGGCCGCCCAATGCCGCTGCTGCCCATTCATACCGGTTCCCCCCGGCTTTGCCTTGGCGGCTGGGCGTCCTCTCGTGCAAACCTCCATTCTTCTGCCCTCCGGCTCCGTTCCCGATTTGGGGTCGGAGAAAAGGGGCTCTTGACACGCAGCTCGGCCTCGATCGTTCAGACGACTCTTCCTCCCGGGTTGATCCCTTTGGTCTTCCCCGCCTGGAGTTGTGACCCATCTGCCTGTGCGGTGGGGATGGGAGGCTTTTCGAAGCAGTGGGGGCACATTTACAATGAAAAGTAATTCCTAGAAATCTCGCTCGATGCTGTGTGGGTGGCCGTGATTGCCAAGGATACCCCACAGCGCCCCATATTTTTTCTTACATCATAGTCACCAGCAAGTATCCGTTTATTCAAGGGGTTGTCTACACCATTTATTTGAAGGTAAAAGGCATCATCTCCTTAGCCCTTGCTCATCCGGATGTTCAGTGATCCTTCCTAGCTTGTCATTCTACATATATGCATACATGCATATTTACATATATATACACATACATACATACATATTTATTATCTCTTTTAAGTGTACATTTCAGATCTGAACAGAAGGTTCCTTCTTTTTATTTCATGCCTTTGGGTGCAGTTGCTAATGTGGGAATGAGGGTACTCATGGCATTTCTCTACTCTGCAACGGAACTGAGATGTGGCAGCCTGTTCTGGTTGCTGCTGTATAAATCACCTAACATGTTGGCTCTGCAGTGTGAATCATAATTGTCGGAGCCATTTCCCTCACCACATGGAAGCAGCTCTATGGTTTTACAGTACGTCTCTGCTTCCTTGTATCTTTAGCATCCAGAGGCTAACTCTTAATCCCTGTCTTTCTGCATGCTTGGGTTTTGTTGAAATGCACCACAGAATAACTGTGCTACAAGAAGTAACTATAATTAAAGATTTGAGTTGGAAAGCTGTCAGAATGGGATTGTATCACTACAGTAAATTATACATGTATCAGCTGCACAAATCAAATAGGGGTGATTATAATTGGCCCGTCCTGAACCCCTCTCCAGCCCCCACCTCCACCCCCCCAATAGCACATCTTTATCTTGCTTTAACTCTGTGAATTTTCAGTTTACAGTGTCAGGCTACTGGAATACATATGAGGCCTAGTCTATCTGTTCATAATTCAGTCTCTAGATTTAGACAGCACTTTTTCAGTAGTTGGAAGTGTTGCATGCTGCTAATTTTAAGTGCATTACATTCAAACAGCGCAATCTGCATAAATGGCTATAACCCCAAAGAGTGAGAGACTGATAGCAGAGCAGCAAAGGTGCAATTTGATGTAACAGGATGAAGCTGACTTGCAAGAACTGTGTTTGAAAACCAAGAAAATATCTTGTGAGTGAGTGGTAGGGTTCAGAACTTGTAAAAGTAGCAGTATTGCTGGGCAGTGCTTAAACTACAGTAAGTTACGTACTGGATTGACTGAATGGCTGGGTGAATTGCACATCTGCATTTTCTCTGAAAGAAAGAACAATCTCATGGATACTGATAGTTTAAGCTTCATTAGCAATAATTATGCTTGTTACAATTTTCTAGGCTTCTTGGATTTGATAAAGTTCAGCTATTTTAAACAATCTCCTTTCAGTTAGGGTAGATTTGGCAAGATTGCATTAATAACAATTTAAGGTCTATTCATAAACTAGCAGGCAAACGCGGAAATATGCAACTGCTTTCATCACAATACAATATACACATTTAAATAATGATTTTATTCCAACTTTCTTCCAAGGATCTCATCTATTCATGTTTTTGTCTCCTATTATGTTATCCACATATCAACCTTCTAGGGTAGGTTTGACTAAAAAGCAGTGGGTGATCTATACTCACCTAGTAAGTTTTGTGGCTAAGTTGAGATATGAATTTGAACCCACAACTCTATTTCTAGTTCAGAAACATTCATTGTGCCACTTCATTATGGTTATTAAATGTGCACAGGAACATTTGCTTGTCAGAAGGCTGCAAAAGGTGACCACATGACTCCAAGACATTGCAACTATCATAAGTATGAGCCAGTTGCCAAGCATCCGAATTTGGATCACATGACCAAGTCACTTTTTTCAGTGCTGCTGTAACTTTGAACGGTCACTAAATGAACAGTTAAAAATTGAGGACTACCTGTATTAATATTAAAGTTTATGTATATAGTATCTTTGCAGCTGATTTTACAGTATTGTATCACAAGGGAAGTATATGTGTTGTTGCTATGTATGTTAGGAAGAACCGTGGCATGTTAGTATGTGGTTTTTGTCCTGAAAACGATTTACAGCTGTGTTGCTTGGGCTGGGCTTGCTCATCCCTGATCTGCCATTCATTAATTATTTACTTCGGTTTTTATGTCATTTCAGTCTTTTAATCAGCTCAGTTTTCAGTTCTAATAACTAGGATGAAAATTCTAAAATGGTAAGCAATAGCATCATACTTTAATCAATAACATAACACAGAATAATAATAATAGCAAAACATCAAATGATACCTATGGACCTTCTAATCATCTGGAGTTGCCTTTCAGCCCCAGGAGCAGCTAAATTACAAGTCCTCTCCTTTGCCACAAGCCTCAAACAGCCTTCTGATATAATAATAGGGACGAAGACTTAATATCAACTTGATGTCATGTAATCAAGCAATTGAAAGAGCTAGCTGCTTTTCTGACTGATTTTCTCCTAAAACTGAAATAAGTTCTTGCTATTTCTCTTAAAGGTTTTCCCATTTTTTAAAAAATTCCTTATCATCTCTAGAACCAGTTTGGCGTAATGGGAAACTAGTAGGCACCAGGCTAGTAGCCTGGAGACTGAATTGTACTCCTGCCTTAAACACAAAGCCAGCTAGTTGACTTTAGGCCAGTCACTGTCTCTCAGCCCTAGGAATGAGCAATAGCAAACCACTTCCAAAATCTTGCCAAGAAAATTGCAGGGACTTGCCCAGACAGTCTCCTGAAGTCAACCATGACTTGAAAGTATGCACACACAACATATTACCTTATACTATTTTCTGTCAGAGTTTATACTATGTTCTCATTAGGAAAAGGGAATCTCTTTTCACCCTTTTTTTCACAAATCTTTCTGTGGTCAGTTGTGCCTCTGTTAAGATTAAGTGTTAGGAGAGAGTTTGCCACTTGCATGCATGCAAAATATGATAGCTTTCTGTAGTACTCATTCTTTTAGTTCATCATGATCACTGCCTTGGATTAAATCTAGTTACAGATAGTCCTCAATTTACAACCATTTCTTTAGTAACTGTTTGAAGTTATATCAGCCCTGAAAAAAGTGTCTTATGACCAGTTTTCATTTACGACCTTTGCAGTATCCCCATGGTCGTGTGATCAAAATTTGGGCACTTGGCAATAGTTGCACTGTCCTGGGGACATGTTATAACTATTTCTCAGCTGGCTTCGACAAGCAAAGTCAACGGGAGTAGCCAGATTCGCTTAATGATTGCATGATGCACTTAACAACTCAAGTTAACAGTAGCAAAAGGTCATAAAATGAAACACAACTCACTTGATCATCAAGGGAAATGTTGAGCTCAATAGTAGTCATAAGACAAGAGCTACCTGTATTTGCCTCTCCTCTCCTGAGAGGAGATTGCTTCTGAGACAATTGTTCTATGGCACAATCATTTAGAGCAGGAATTGTCCGCCTTCTTTTGCTCATGGCCCCCTTCTGAACCCCCTTTGCTTTTGTGACCATAGCCTCTCCATAGTTACTATGGGGAGTGGCGCGTGTGGCGTCACCTGTTCCTCTTCCGGGTTTCTGGCATGCATATGCGCGTGGCGATTAGCTAGTCTTTTTGCATGTGGCAGTGCTGGAAACTAGAAGAGCTGGTCTTCGGTTTTCAAGCGTGAGCATGCATGCCGGCCAGCTGATCGTCGCATGCACATGCGCACCAGAAACCTGGAAGAGTAGCTGGCTGAAACCGGAAATTCATTTTTGGGCGTGTGCATGCACCCTGGGCAGCTCCTCTTCCGGGTTGCAGTCCAGACACAGCTCTACAGATAAATGTAAAATCAAAGGATGGATGCAGTGATTGTTCCATCTTCTAAATATTTGTTTTTTAATCCTCTTTTCATGTTATTCCACCTGGTTCTTGGGTCTCTTAAGAGAAATACACAGAATGATACTAGTTTCATTCTAGCTAAATTAATCAAGAAAATGTCAGGTTCCAAGTAATGCACCTATCACAAACCGAACTCCGAGGCATTCCGTTTTCTCAAAGAACAAATTTATTTAGATACACCATCTTGGCACTAACTGGTAAAAAGCCAGTACTAAAAATTCCCAGGCTTTCCACCCACTATAAGTAAACGTTTCTCAATTTTTCAAAACAATATGTCACACTGTCCAACAGTGTGGTTGACAGTTGGTTACTTGGCAACTTCTCTCCTCCTCCTCTGGCCAACCAGCCGTTGGAATGTCTCTGACTTATCAGCTAGCTATGTTGTTTTGGCCGAAGACTCCATCCACCCCAGGTCTCCCCACTTCAGCTCCAAACTGTGTCAAACTGAATTCATGAGAGAATAATCCAGGATACAAATAATCCCACAACCCAGTAAAATTCAGGTTTGACTGGCTGCCCAATCCCCTCAAATGAAGGAACATCTCTGCAAAAGACAAAGCACAGTAGGGTTAGTCAATACCATTAGCTCCCCCTCCCTCCCCTGGGAGGCCCCTTTGGTTTCTGGGGGTACTTGTCATGAAATGCTTTACCAACCTATCTGCACTCACCTTCCAACTCTTCCCAGGTGGCCTCAGAAAGCAGGTATCCCTTCCAATATATTAAGTATTCCAATTGACTCCTCTGCACTCTCGAATCCAATATTCTGTTTATCTCATAATGAGTCTGACCCTCGATCA